GAAGGAGTGTCAATGATAATTATCCTATTTACATTTAATATTTAATCACAATAAAAATAATATACTTTGCACAGGGACACCGTAATACACACACACACACACACATATATAATAAAGTAGCTAGATAGTTTGTCTTGAGTTTTTTGCGGCTCAGATCATTTTGATCTGATGGCTTAATTGAACTTTCACTTCTATTGCAACTCTAAGAGTCTCATCACTCATATAACTCTCTCTCACACACTCTTATCTCTTTTTTTGTTTGCCCGTGTTTTTTGGTTATTATTTAATCTATAAAGATAAAATTATATGTTATACAATTATTTATTTTCATGAAACTAATTCAAAACCTTTATATATCTAACGACATATATTTTGTTGTTTACTTCTTAATTTATAAATAATCTATATAATAAAGTAACTAGATTTATTTGTCTTTATCTTTTTGCGGCTCAAATTGTTTTATATAATGGTCTTAAGTAGACTTAAATTTTTTTTACAATTTTAAGACTCCCATCTGTCATAAAACTCTTTGTATCTATATATCTATTTTATATTCTCTCTCATACTATTATCTTTTTTTTTGTTTCTCCAGTGTTGGTTTTGTTATTATTTATCCCATAAAACAAAAAAAATAACATCTTATGCAATTATTTATTTTATGAAACTAATTTAAAATTTTTATATATATGACGACATGTATTTTGTCACTTGTTTTTTAATTTGTAAATAACACTTAATATAAATAAAAAATCGCACATTGACTATAAACATCAAATAATATTTAACACAAAGTAAACCTTAGATTGTAAATCAATATATAATTTTATTAAAAAAATTGACATTTAATTTTTTCCAATTTATGTTAAACTTTGTTGAATTAATATCAAATTAATTTTTATTGTTATCAAATTAATATTATAATTCATTTAATCAATTTTTTGAAATACTAAATTATATCAATTTTTTGGGTACTAAATTAAATTTTATTTGATTTTATTAAATTTTTAATTTTTTTGTACTAAATTTGGATAAGGGAAATTGTAAAAATAATAAAATTTTTTGAATGAAATTATCAATTTCCGTTAGCAACATTAAGAAAGGTAGACAGAAGGGGTCTCCGTGCAATGAATTCAAACTTTAAGGGGTCTTTGTGTTATTTATAAAATGTCTAAAGGTGCCCGTTTAATATTGTCAAAACTTAAGGAATGTCCATGATTTTTATCATTTTTTTAATTAAACATTAATTTATTATTATTTTATCTTAAAAACTCAAGCAACTATTGGAGTTTGTCGTTAACCAAAAAAGAAATGCGTGTGAATAAATTTATGTGTATATTTATTTATAAAGGATTGAACATTTAGTGATTAAATTTATAATTATATTGTGTAATTTGGGGTTGAATGGTGATAGTGATGATAAATTTATGAGTTTTATATGTAAGTAGGATTTAATTGATTTTATTTATCGCTTAAAGATTGTAAATTTAATTGTGTTCTATTAATATTTTTTTTACTTGGGGTATTTATTACATGAAGTTAAGGTAGATTGAAAATATGATGGTTGAGTTTATAATTATATTGTATTATTGGATTGAGTAGTAGTAAATGTCATAAATTCGTGAGTCTTATAAATGAGTAAGATTTTATTTATTACTTAAATATTGTAAATTTCAATGAGTGATGTTAGTATTTTTTTAAGAGGCAATTATATATATGATGTTGTTTTGAGAAGTTTTTATATATTTTTATTACAGTTTCATTAATAGGGAGGATACGGTCCACATATATTTCGAGTCATTTTAAAATAAGAATTGATATGAATATTTTAGGTCATTTCTTTTAAATTTGAATAATTGTTTAGGATTTTTTGTTTATTGTATACTAATATATATATATATATATATATAGAGAGAGAGAGAGAGAGAGAGAGAGAGAGAGAGAGAGAGAGAGAGAGAGAGAGAGAGAATGACATGTCTATCATGTAAAAAGATCGTGGTGGAGGTCTATCAAACTCAAAAGAGATAAAAGAGGCAATTTGTAGAAGTGATGAACTTGTTTGGTACTAAATATAAGGTTGTTCAAGAGTTGGACTAAGCTGTTTGGAAATAGGGTTAGAAACATAACAAACATGTGAGGGTAAAATTGATAATAGTCAACTTTTGTCGACAAATGTGCGCCAACAATATTGATAATGGTGTTAGCGCAATTTTGAAAACAACAGGGGTGCAGTGAAAATTTCAGAAACAATAGGGGGTGTCATTGTAATTTACCCATTTATATTTTATCTTTATATTTATATTTATTTAAACAACAAGGGGTGTCATTGTAATTTACTCATTTGTATTTTATCTTTTTATTTATTTATTTTTAGATTTTATAAATTTTATATATGGCAGATTTGTAATTAAAATCTAATGGGTAATACCGGAATGATAATAGAATTAAGAGTTAATCTCATTTTGTACTCCGAAAGATTGTTCGAATCTCAATTTGTACCCTCAAAGATCAAAAATTTTAATTTACACCCTCAAAGATAGAAATTTGAATTAATGTGCACCCCAAAGATCAAAAATCTCAATTTATACCCTCAAAGATAGAAATTTGTATCAATGTGCATCCCCAAAAATCAAAAATCTCAATTTGCACCTTCAAAGATAGAAATTTGTATCAATGTGCACTTAAAATTAAATTAATAAATTATACCTTGATCCCCTCATGTTTGTCACTTAATCATTTGAACTCCTTCACATTTAGAATATTCCCCTTACATCTCATGACGTTTATGTATGTGTAACACATAATCACTTTTCGTTGATATATATTAATATAATCATTAAAAAATATGATTTTATCATAATATAAAATTATAATTTTATATTACCTTTTATTTTGTAAATTCGATATACTCTAAAGTTAAAAATCAAGCTTACCATTTGAATGTCTAATAAAATGCAGATATTTATATAAAAGATAATATGAAAAATATTATATAAATATTTATATTTTATTAGACATTCAAATGGTAAACTAAATTTTGAACTTTATAGTATATTGAACTTATAAAATAAATTGTAATATGAAATTATAATTTTTTATTAGGATAAAATTATATTTTTTAACGGTTATATTAATAGATATCAATGAAAATGGGTTACATGTTATACGTGCACAAATGTCATAAGATGTAGAGTAATATTATAAATGTGAAGAGATCTAAATGATTAACTGACAAATATGAGGGGATTTAGGTATAATTTATCAATTTAATTTTAGGTGCACATTGATACAAATTTCTATCTTTGAGGGTATAAATTGAGATTTTTTATCTTTGGGGTACACATTAATATAAAATTCTATCTTTGGGGTATAAATTGAGATTTTTGATCTTTGGGGGTGCACATTGATACAAATTTCTATTTTTAGGGTATAAATTTAAATTTTTGATCTTTAATAGTATAAATTGAGATTCGAACAATCTTTCGGAATAAAAAATGAGATTAACCCTAGAATTAACATGGATCTTTCTAGGTTTTCTATCGTTAGCCGATAAACTCAACCCCAACTGGCCTCTCCCTCTCTCTCTCACATAGCCGCTTAACTCCTCCGACCTCCAATTCAGATCGATCTCTGTCTGTCTGTCTGTATCTTCGGCATCTCTTTCTCCGATTAGGTAATTCTTCAGCTCTTTGATTATATTCGTCTCTCTCCGTCTCTCTCGCCATACATACATATATATATTTGAGTGTTTTTGTGTGCATAAATGAATCAGTGTTTTCATGTTGGATCTGTAAACCTTTTGATAGATCTGAAATTATGGCTTCATCGCAGAAGCGTATTTAGGGTATAATTATGTCGCAAAGTTATCGTCTTTTTTGGACTTGGTTGTTAATTAGCTCAATATTTTCTGATTCAGATCAATTTTTATTTATTAATGGTCGGATTATTTATGGTAAAATTGGTTTGGGTTTTTTTTGGTGAGATGTGATTTATTTGTTTGTAGTAGTTAGTTCTTGTATCAGATCAGGAGCATTTATTTTTTTTGGGTGGTTGATTAGGGCTTGTTAGTGTTGACATTTATTGAGGACTAGTCAAGAGAAGCTTATGTTGATAGCCTTGGATAATTATCTGGAGTTTTACATCTTTGGATAGATTTGATTTAATTTATATATGGGAGCTGGTATTTAGCAAGAAATTTTTGGAAAAGATGTACTGTCATGTGTCGTCAGGCAGTACTATTGATTTACTGTTGCATCATTGTGTTGTGTGTCCAGCCCTCAGACATTTCATACGTTATGATTGAAAGTAGAGAATGGGAAATAATCTAATAGACATACACATTGAAGTCTACATGATTGACGTGCATGGAAATTATGAGAGAAAAATATTTGGGTTGTTGACGACAATTCTACATTTCTCTCGTGTGAATTTTTGACTTGTATGTCAAGTTTTTGGCTAGAATGGAATTGTTTTTGAATTGGCTACTTTTATGCTCTTATGTCTTGTCTGTGTGTCTATCTTCTCAGATACTTGTGCTATATTTCTTAATGACATGTTACCATAAAATCTTCAATACGTATGTGTCATCAAGCAGTACTATTGATTTACTGCATCATTATGTTGTGTGTGCAGCCCTCAGACATGTTATGTGTTATGTTTGAAACTAGAGAATGGGAAATAATCTAATAGACATACACATTGAAGTCTACATGATTGACGTGCATGAAAATTCTGAGAGAAAAATATTTGGGTTGTTGATGACAATTCTACATTTCTCTCGTGTGAATTTTCAGCTTGTATGTCAAGTTTTTGGCTAGAATGGAATTGTTTTTGATTTGGCTACTTTTCTGCTGTTATGTCTTGTCTGTGTGTCTGTCTTCTTGGATACTTAATGCTATATTTCTTAACGACATGTTATCCTAAAATATTCAATATGTAGACCTGTATCTGTGTATTCATGTATGTAGCGGACTCAAGGTTTATTTGTATTGGATTTTGAGTGCAGAGTTTCACATTTCTGTTCGAGCGGTGACCTGGAGTTGCAGTGCATTTCATGCTTTGGAGCACATTAATTTATAAATCTTATATGCAGCGTGACTTAGCTTATGCTTTATAGTCCTAGTTTAGTATGTCCAACGATCTTGTGTCACAGCAGTTATCAATACCATACTGGAAAACGGGTCATATGGAAGCTTTTCCCGACAAACTGGACTCATCAACATTAGACATGCGAATGATGGAATTTTTGCCCACTAATCCTGCATCACACCAGGTTGCAGCATCAGAACAGCAAATTGGGCTGGTGGAACCAATGCCAAATAATCCTGGGTCACAGAACCCAACAGAGTTGAGTAAGCCAATGTGTCAACAGACTAAACCTGAGGTGGGCCATCTGGGGTTACAGAATTTATCACTGCCAAACCAGCAAGTTGGAGAGATGGGGGTCGTGTTGAATAGTCCAGGTTCACAAAAGATTTTGGTACCAAGTAAGCGGAAGGCTGAGGTGGAACCCATGTTCAACATATTCATGCCCCAGAATCCAGCATTGCCAAACAAACGGTTGGCACAAATGTTACATTCTCCTAATTCCCCAGGGTTGGCACAGTCATCTGCGCCTAGCAAAAAAACTGTTTCGATGCAATCCATGTCCACTACACTGGTGCTAAATTCACCTGCACCAAACACGAGAATGATACGAAATGACTCTAATTCCAGTAAATCTGTTTCGCAGAGGATACAGACTCCGAAAAGTCGATCTTCACAAATGCAACCATCTGCAAACTTTTCTACTGAGTCATTTGAGGCAGTTAGGTCCAAGATGAGGGAATCATTAGCAGCTGCATTGGCATTGGTTTGTCAGCACCAAGATAAAGATCTAAAGGAAGAAAACAATTCTCAGGGTGAAGCAGTCATATTTTCACAACAGACACAGGAGAATTCTCAGTCTGCTGAATTCACTTCCAATCTGGCTATTGCTGTTGACCAGGTATCTGCAAACACAGTTGATGCTTTGCCCTCCAAAGAATATTGTTCTGTTGATAGACGGAATGATGTCCAAAACACACCTGTGGAAACTTCTGGTTGTGAAATCAAGGGAAATTCTACAGAGACCTATAATTTTGATGGGCCACAGTTCCAGTACAATTATGTTTTGCCGGATGAAGATGCTTCGTTTAGTGACAATTTCTTTGTCAAAGATGATCTTTTGCAGGGGAATGGGCTTTCTTGGGCATTTGATTTTGATATGCAGGAGCCCAAAAAAGGGCAAGTTCCAACTGCTGAAAAACCTACCTCAGTACATGAGGATGGTGGTGGAGATGCAGCCAAGCAGCAGTCCATTCAATCTCCTGAAAATCTAGCTTTGAAAATCGAAGTAGAACTCTTCAAGTTGTTTGGAGGTGTCAATAAGAAGTACAAAGAGAAGGGTAGGTCTCTTTTGTTCAATCTAAAAGATCGGAATAATCCAGAACTGAGAGAAAGAGTTATGGCTGGTGGGATTTCCCCAGAGCGATTGTGTTCAATGTCAGCCGAAGAGCTTGCTTCAAAGGAGCTGTCTGAGTGGCGAATGGCCAAAGCAGAAGAGCTTGCACAAATGGTAGTTTTACCTGATTCAGACGTTGATATTAGATGGTTGTTGAAGAAAACACACAAGGGTGACTGTCAAATAGAAGTTGAACAAGATGATAATGTTTCGGTGGATATTTCCACGGGGACTTCTACACTCACTTCAATTCGACCACAGAAAAAGGAAACAAAAGCTCGCCCCCCTTCCGAAGCTGATGAAATTAAAAACAAACAGATTATTGTAGGTGAGAAGAGTAGGTTAGAAAATGAGGAGTTTTCAGGTAACCTTATTATTCCGAATGATGGGGCTGATTTAATGCAAGGGATGATAGTGGATGAATTGAAGGATGTGGACTTTCTTCCTCAGATTGTCTCTCTAGATGAATTTATGGAATCTCTTAATTCTGAACCTCCTTTTGAGAATTTGCCAGTAGATGCTGGACAGGAAACTCCTCTATCAGACAAGAAAAACTCAGAAACTGGCAACGAATTTGTGGATGCTACCAATTCCCAAGATCCTGTGGATACTACCCTAGACAAGGCTGATAAAGTGGATGTGAAACAAACTGAGCTAGCTGTGGATGTGAAATCTGGTGAGATCCCTGTTGAACGCAAAGTCTCCCCTTCTGGTTGCACATCAATGGCTGAACATGTCTGGGAAGGTGTACTTCAGCTAAATATCTCGGCCTTGGTCACAGCCATTGGCTTATTTCGAGGGTATGTTTTTTTTTATAAGTTATAATTACTGCAAGTTTTCCCATGCTGCACGCTGTGCTAGTCGGACCAAATTTGATATGGCAGCCTCACAGCCAACAAATAACGGGTGGTGGGCAAAACAAATCTAATTGGTGTTTGTTCAATTTGGGCCTCCAAATTTGGTCCGTGAATTTGTTCAATTTAGTATTTTGCATTATGTTACTAGATTGTTGACCGTATGGTGTTATGTGATACTGCTAGTATTATCTCATAATCTCATTAATGCTATCTCGTTCCTAGTTTCCTTTTACATAGTTCTTTCCTGAAAGTATGAGTTACTTTGTAATACTCACCTGTTGCACATGTGCAATGCTTGGCTTCACATTGCAAGTGCCATCTAAACTTTCTTCACTGAACCTTTCCATGAAAATTTCCACGAACAAATTGTCGTCTGCTCACAAATTTATTCTTTTTTGTTTCTGTTGAAGCTATGACTCAGTTTATTTGGCCATTTAACTCGGACCGTGTATAATGAGTTTCTTTAACAGAATAAGAACCATTTTGGTGACAGTAAGCACTTGCATAGTTACATGTAATGGACGACCTGTGATGGAAGTTGAATCCAAGCATCAACTGAAATGAACTACTGCTTGCTCGACGAATTTATAGCAGGTTTTCTGAAAATGAGATGATGTTTAACATGATCTTTGGGAGTTAATGGAGTTCTACACAATTTGTGCGAGTTTTTCAGTTTTTTTTTTCAGTGCTTTTTGCTGATCTCTTACTCTTCTTACAGTGGCGAGAAAACACCGACGAAAGAGTGGCCTAGCGCTCTTGAGATGAAGGGGAGAGTCAGACTTGATGCATTTGGGAAATTTCTTCAAGAGCTTCATATGTCTCGAAGTCGTGCAGTGATGGTATCTCAAGTCCCATTTCTTCTTTTGCTTTGTTCTTTTTCTGGACTCTTGTTACTTTCAATGCAGTGTAGCAATTCATTTATAATAGCAAATGACATTTGTTTACGACCATGGAGCTTCTATAGCAGCTACTGTTGCAAACCGCCATATAAAACACCATCGCTGTATTCGTGGATGAATGATGCGTATAAGAATGCCTTCCCAATTTCACCATTATCTACTTTTTTAACCAATTCTTCTGTGCTGATTGAAATTCTATCGAAATGACCACTTTGTCATGTAGTCAAAAATTTGACAAAATCGTGCAATTGGGGCATATGGAGCAGTGCACGTTATTGGTAGTGTGGTGGCTGTATGATGCTAGTTTTCATATCACTTGAAGCAAACAGATTCAAACTCTTTAATACCTTAAGAGCCCGCCATCTTGTTCTTGCATATCCTATCGACGAAGCACGACTTATCGAGAACCATGAGAAATCTGGTTTGACTTTCCATTGGTAAATAGATATTGAATATAATAGAATGATCCTTCTGTTTTGAAATTGAATATTAGTTTTTGAGATGCAAATCAAACACGCCGTTAATTGTTTAATAATCTTAGTTAATAACACATATCTGGGCCAGAGCGGGTATTAACTAAATGTTCGGGACCGATTTATTGTACTTTTGATATAATATATTTGGACGAGTATTATGCCCAGAAGAAATACCTAATGCAGGCATCTAAAAGTTGACAATCTTTAGAAATGGATGATAAAGAAAAATTAGACACTTCGAAAGGTTAAAAAGGATCTCATAGAGAGGAAGTCATGACGATAATAGCTTGAGTTACATATACAGAATCAACTTATATGCTTTCGTATATGCCCGAAGTCATTTCAATTTGATTAGTCTTTTTAGCTAATGATGTTCTGGTACTCTACAGGTCCTTCACTTTTCTTTGAAGGATGCATCTTCCGAGAATGAGCGTTCAACTATTTATGAGGTAATTACGATCTATTTAGGGTTTTTGAGATTCGATTTTTTCTCTCTAGGTCTTTAAGTCTCATTTTATTGCTTACCCATATCTTCCGTTGTCTTGTAGATGGCGAATTCATATGTTTCAGACGAGAGGTTGGGTTTTGCTGAGCCGACCCCGGGAGTCGAACTCTATCTCTGCCCACCTCACAATAGAATAGTTGATATGATCAGCAAGCATATATCTAAAGACCAAATAGAGATACTTAAATCTACAAACAATGGCCTAATTGGTGTAGTTGTATGGAGAAAAGCTCATTTAAGTTCCACAATATCACCCAACTCATCTTCACTTCATAAACGGGGCTCAAAAAAGCAACACTGCACCTCTAGAGGACACCAACAAAAAGATATCAATGTTAAGGTTAACTTGACATCAAAAGCTCAAACCTCGTTTCGACCACCTCCTACCGATCCTGAACCCTCACCCGATGACGACGATATTCCACCTGGGTTTGGCCCGGCAGCCTCCCGGGACGAGGATGATTTGCCGGAGTTCAACTTCTCTGGCAAGATCAGCCCCTCTATGCCTAAATTTCCTCCCCAGGGGCCCGGAAAGACCCCTTTTCAACCAAATGCCCAGGCCTCGTCCAGGCCCGTTAGCCAAATTAGAGAGCTTATACACAAGTACGGGCAATCTGAAACCTGTGTCACACCCCCTAGGAATTGGCAGGACGAAAGAGGTGTAGGCCTTGGGATTCAACCATGGAATGATGATGAAGATGACGATGATATCCCCGAGTGGCGGCCCCAAGTCCCCAACCCCCCGTTTCAGCCACAACCCTCCATGCATAGGCAGCCCCAGCCCCACGGTGGTAATGAACATCTTGCAATAGCAGCACCTCAGCAGAAAATGAGGCCACTAGGAACACAAATTGCTATGCCTATGCATACTCCAAATGTGGTGAAAGGTCTACAAAACATTACACCATCTAGGCATCAAGGTGGTAGATGGGTGCAACCAAATGGTCCCCACGGCCTACAACTTAGTAGCTTAGAGAATCGGCCCGGTGCATGGCAGCACCATGGGATGCCTGCACTTAGAGCTGGTCATCCAGCAACCAACTGGAGACAGGACACCCCCAGGAATAGGGGTGGTTTCTGATTTCCCTTCCATGTAAATTATTAGCTTTTCTACTCTCTCTCTCTCTCTAACCCAGATATGTGCAGTTCTGTAGCCATTGACTCTATGATCTGGTTCAGAATGGTTAGATGTTGAATAGAATGTAATCTTATTTCAAGTTTATTTTTTCTATGATTTTATTTATTTGTTTTCATTTTAGCTCTTGGACCCAGGGCTATATCACCCATCTTTGTTATATTCAGATATGGTTTTTTTTCCTCAAGTGCACTTCAATTTGTAGATGGTTTTTCATGAATACAGAATATACGGTAAATGATCTATAATTGAGACGGATGCGAAAAAATACACCAGACGGGATCTAGATCATAGTGTTCTTGATCAACCAAGAAGTCCTATCTTCAAACTTTCTTCAAGAATTTAAGCTGACGAACTTGTTTGTTGTTTCCTTTTTTTTTTTTTTTTCCCCTTTCATCATCAGCTGATTTTTTTTACATTTCTTTTTTTCAAATTGCAGGGAAAATAATAGTGGAAATATAATTCAAGAAGTGCTTGAATTTCAACTTTAGTATGCCCATTGTGCACCATACATTGGCATTTATCCCTTACACCTCTAAACTAATTTTTATTGAAATTTATAAATCACAATGGTACAAAAGTTGTCATCTCTTGCTCTCTCTCACTATTCTTAATTTAGATGTATTGGAAAAACATAGTTAACTATGTTAATAATGAGATAATTTTACAATGATTTCAAATTATAAAAAAACTAGTCCAAAATATTGCAAATTTGTTGAATAGAATTATCACTAATTAATATTCAAGTTTTTGTAGTTATTACTAATTCCATCTTTTTTATCGTGTTATTGTTCAAATTTGTTTTCACTACGATAAATTTCTGACTCCACCGTTTATTATAGCGAAGAAAATGGATGAATTCTTCCCAAATTTTGCATCATTGTCTCCTTTCCTAAACTTTGCTTGATTATTGAATAAAAGCAGAATCCATGAGTCTAATAAAAGCTACAAGACTGAGAGAATGATATTAACTTCACTAGAAAAAGTGTATGGGTCGTAAGTGACACTTGGAGAGAGAGAGAGCGAGAGGGGGGGGGGGGGGACAGCGACAGATGAAAAAAAGAAGAAAAATTGTGGAGGCCTTATAAAGGCATCCCAGTGGGTCGTATGACTCGATTAAAAGAATAATTTTCACATTTATAACAAAGTTTTTCATAAATAGTTTCAACCATTGACCATTGACAGTAAAGATATTTTCGTTTGAAGGCTTTTTCACTTTTACTGTTTCATGTCCAAATACTTCTTTGACAATGAAAAATCCAATACACCTTGACCTCAACTTACCAAAAAATAGACAGAGCCTTTAATTGAATAATAGGACTTTTTGGGACAAAACAAAGAATTTCTTTACTCTGTTTTTTATCATGAAAAATTTTCATCATTTCCTTTACAATTTTTGTATTGTTATATGCCTCATTTCTCAATTTCTTAAATTCGTTAATCTGAAATTTTCTTGAGAGTCCAGTCTTCTCCAGGTCAAAGTTCATTGCTTTAATAATCCAGTATGTTCTGTGTTCTAATTCCACAGGTAGGTGACAAGACTTGCCATAGACTAATCAATAAGAAGACATACCAAAAATTATTTTAAAAGCAGTATGATATGTCCAAAGTGTATCAGTTAGTCTTGACGATCAATCTTTGTAGTCCAGGTTTACTGAGAGAGAGAGAGAGAGAGAGAGAGATTTTCAATTTGCAAAATTTTATACCGTAATGATCAAGTAAACAAACTGAACAAAGCAAACAAGTGCATGAATGAATACATGACAAAATCAATACTCAACCGCTCGCATGGATGCCGAATACAGCTCATTATTTCCAAAGAGATCATTGGCTATGAACCCCCTAAAGCACACCTGACTGCAGCTCGTTGCTCCACTGTCAATCTTGTAGGAAACCTAACTTCAAATCCACCCCCCTATTACAAGGCTCCTCAGCAATTTGCCTTCCATCGCAACCACGGGCTCATGATCAGGGCTCACAATGTCAGTTACTGGTAGTTACAAATTATGCCCATCCAGTGTAATTAGATCCACAGTGGTCCCTCCCAGCGCTTCTGATAGTGACACTATATAGTTTATGATCAGGTCATTGCCGTCTCTCATGCAAACATCATGAGGCTTCTCATCGATCACGAATACAAGATCTGCAGGAAGCTGGTTCACCTGCTCATTCCCCTTATCTGGGAAGGTAATTTTTGTTCCCTTCTTCCATCCGGGCTTCACGCCAATCGATAATATCTCTGTTGCTAGCAAAAAAAACTGTCATTTTTACATGATTTTACATCAAATTAGCGAGAGAAGAATGAAATATCCTGGTGCATAGCAGCAAATTTCAAAGAGGTCAACATTAACTCTTATCTCACTCGCAGTAATTACATTCCCATAGTTAAAAGTATCGTATAGCCAATGCATAAAAAGATGTCTCGCACGAAATCAATTCAGCAAGTCAATAAAAGCACAATGCTTAACAGACCAATTTCAAAATGATGATGAGGAACAACTTGTAAACCAGCTAAGATGATATGCTGCTCTGGAGATGAAAAATAAATGATAAATGAGAAGTGTATTGATATGTATATAAAAATAAACAGCTCTACAATTTGATTTCATACTAATACAGTGAAGAATCATAGGAAGCAGATAATTGTCTGGTCAATCGTAAGACGTTCAAAACATGCAAATTTTCTCTTAAGCAAGTTGCTTGAAAATTAAATTGTTTCAGACAAGGTCCTTTAATGGTTTTTTTTTTTTTAACCGATTGTCCTTGAAGGTTACTTCATCATTTTCACCTAAAATGTTTCAGCATATAAAAACATGCTCAATTAAGTTATCTAAATGCACCATTGACTTAAAGATATGCCACAACACAAAAGGGCTTGCAGTAGCATGTCCCCCATCAATATGATACATAGAGTTTGAAAATTTTTAGACCCATTTCTTGACCTCTCACAAGTAAGCTTAGAAATAATTAAAACAAGGTGGATAAGCATACTTCCTCTATGGAGGAGATGATGTCTTTGTTCACAGTATATTAGTTGCTCTGTGGTCTTCTGAATTTAACTGGCATGATGGAAAGACCCAATGCCATTTCCTTGTGTTGTACACATTTAAACGAAAACAATATATCAAAATCCCATGGCAAAGGTTGCAACTTGCAATTGAAATGATAGTAGCACAGTTAAAGAAAAAGTGGCTAACATACAGTTCCTTTTCTGACAACTAGATCATCTTCAGTCCAGAAGCCAAGCAATCAAGTGTTTCGGGTTTCGGTTCCTAAAATTATGCCATTAATCACAGTGGAGTCAACCCAAATGGATGATAACTGAAGAAAACAGATTTATCAGTTATCAAGGAAATTGGTCCAGTATCATGCAAGGCAACGAGCAACATAAATGTCAGCAGGTTATTAATAACCCATGGTCTAGTAGACTAAAAAAGCACATAATTCCAGAATTACCATAGCTCTCATAATAAAAGATAAAGGCAACTAGTTATTCATGACAAGCACAAACACTTAAATACCTGCAAAATCTCACTTAAACAGTTGCCGAGCATGAATGAAAGGAAATATCAACATAGAAACACAGGAAAAGTACACCAACCCATTGGCATCCATGACTTTGCGAGATTTTCATTTTCCTTGTTGATCTGGAGTACAGCTCCTAAAGGCTGCAAGGCAATTTACTATCCACTGGTGGTGGTTTCTTTGGGATGCTAGCAACAGTTCCATCACTATATGTCCAAAAGATATTATTGCCCCCACCAAAACTCCCAAATAATCCTCTTCCATCAGATGATTATCTCATGGACCGGCCAGCCCCTGCAGACTCAAATCCAAAAGGGCTACTCCCAAAGAATTCAGCAAAAATATCCTCTGCATTTTTTGGATTGAAACCATTTGGGAATCCACCACTGCCCCTAGAACCAGGTGATGGCATTTCTTTCAAACCTGTTTCACCATACTGATCATAGATTTGCCTCTTTTGTGGGTCACTCAATACCTGGAAAAGATGCCATCAGCTACACAAAGTTAATCCCTCAACTAATAACAATGCCAAAATGTAAGTTTCAGAACACAGTCATCATATCGTTGAGCTTAATTTTTGGCTGACTAGCATAAATCAAAGCTTTAACTCCACAAATTCATAAAAAATAAGGGCAGTTCCAAGTCGAATCGACTAATCCAGTATATTTACCACCTTCAAGGTAGTAAGCCAATCTTTCCACTTCAAAAATATGTGATGCTCAAGGAAGCAAGAACAGGCTGATGGCCAACAAAAACTACTAATGCAAATGGAAGCGAATAGAAAAATATACAATTTTCAAATAACAAAGATGTTCAAGTTTAACTGAGCAACGCCTGACAGAACTATATGAATTTACTGCATTCAGCTTCTATATTTTGAAAACAGGCCGACCTTAGAGTGCCTCACTACGAGCTCCATCAAATTCAAGGAAAATCTAGAACACCAGAAGAAGTTGTGGAACCACGACCATTTTCACCGGAAAAAATCATGAGTCCATGTTTACTGGTCAAAAGAAGAAGGAAAATAGATCGAAGTTCCAAAACTGTCTTTCATATTTTTCCTTGCAGTTCCTTAAACCACAGTCATTGTTACTGCAATTCAAGGTGAAAATAAAGCCATAGATTATTATGCTTCATTTAGGATCCCCCAAAATTCACAATAGTCTAAGGAAAAAAAGAACTTACTGCTTTGTGTCAAACAATGAGATTATAGTTCTTATGATGGTAAACGATTGGAGTTTCAATTGATTCACTTGTAATATAGTTGCCTATGAAACACGGATACTTTGGTGAGGCCTGCGTACTCGTATCGGATACGATACCCGTCCCATACTCAAAGATAAGTATTGGATACTCCTCTTACGTATCCAATAATTAATAAAATATTTGGATATTTCGAGGATACTTTTATATCATAGCAATATGTATAATTTTTAAATTTAATCTTTAATACCTTCTTTCAAATTCACATACCATATAATACATTAACAAAAATACATACTACTTTAAAGACACATGAATATTTTTTAAATATTATTTACGATTACATGTGCTACAAATACTTCTAAACAAACTAACTAAGTAAATATTACTTTTGAATCCTTTAATTACCTACTTCATTATGTGAATATACCATAATAATGTGATATATAATTTTTTAAAAATAGAAAAAAATTATTAATTTTTCTTACTATGTTAAAGAATTACAAAAATATGTAATTATTAAGTCAGTAGATAATAGTAAAAATATGAAATATATTTTGTGATAGACGTATCCTGATCGTATCTGTATACAATTTTTTTAGATTTTATTGTATTACCGTATTCGTATCGTATCGTACTCGTACTAGTGCCCTTACCAGTAACCGTACCCGTAACCGTGTCTGTGTGCCGTGCCCTTGCTTCATAGATAGTTTCCCTCTAAAACCTCACCATGCAGCTATAGAAATAACTAGGAATTTGCATTTAACGAAGAGTATACAATTTACATGTAACTGGTGCATTAAGCCAATCCTACTATATATCTAGGCTCGAACAATAAACTCTGCTTCAATGTCGTGCCACACATATCAGCATATACAGTCATTTTGATCATATTAATACAGATTTCATCTTGTTAAACCACCAGCTTCAAAAGCTTAACATAACTAAGAATAAGGACTATTAAATCCAGGAATAAACAAAAAGCATACTCTCATGGCAACACAAAAATGATGAGAATCTGTTTTTTTTTTCCCGGAAGGAGATCAGAATTTGATATATAGTCTTTCCCTCTGATTTTCTCATCAACTAAACATGGAAATAAAAAATGCACCATGTATGTGCGCTTCGGAATGCATACATCGTAGGCTTCGGAGATTTGCTTGAATTTGGCTTCAGCTCCTTTCTTATTGGTTGGGTTCTTACCTGGGTGCCATTTCATTGCCAATCTTCTGTACAATTTCTTCAGATCATCCTCTGTCACATTCCTCCCCACTTTCAATACCTTATAATAATCCACCCTCATTTTCCCTTACGATGTAATCAAGATTGTCAGTGGATCTTCATGTATCATGCATATAACTCTCTCTTCTAAAATTCAAAGATGAACCCAGAATCTAAAAAATCTGAGTCTCAAACTTCGGACTGCAAATTGAAAAAGTTTCTAGTGTCTAAATTTAGTATTAAACAACATAAAATGGACGTAAAAACATAATTTCTCTGGAAAATGATCGTGCGAGGAATCTTTGTGTCTGAATGATTAGGAGACCTCACGCATTTGAGGGAAGGTATAGTCCTTCCATTGTCACATTACATAGCAAGACAGAATGAGCTATCCTACTGCTAATTAAGGTTATCCCTTGGAGGTGTTCAGATGTTCCATGGAAATCAACTAAGTCCACCGTGAATTTATAATTTCATAGAATCTCATGGAAATCAATTGGCATGTGTGCATGTTTGTGATTTTTTTGTGCCATTTGTCCAATAATAGCACTTAAATTAGAGTATAAGTGTTCAGATTTCTTGAAATGACCTCGTTGCTTTATGCTTTTTATAATTCAGTATTCCTGAGAGTCCAATTGCCCAAATCCTATAGCCATCAATTCCATACATGTGCTTCAAATATAGTTGGAAACAAGAAAAAAATTATCTAATAGATGTATGCAACAGATTTGACATGTCCAGAGATATAAAAAAAAACTTGAGTTGTTTTCCTTCGTTGCATACCACAAACACAAGGGAAAGGCTCAAAAAGAGAGATATTTACCACCGAAAAATGGGAGGAACTTCCATGGACAGATCTCACACAAGGGAGAGTCTCAAACCTAGATGAGTTGACGTCTTAGCAAATCCAAAGGCAGGTGGATCTCCGTGCTGAATACACCATGTTTTCAATCACCAACAAGAACTTTATTGATAATGGACAAGAAGTCTTCCAGTGCACAGAGAATAAAAAACAAGAAACATGAAAAAATGGCAACAAGGTATATTCTGCAAGCGGATTTCCAAGCTGCCCCAATTAGGTCCAAAGGGATTACCACAAAATGAGGAGATACCGAAACCCAAAAACAAGCAAAGAACTAAACTCCTCCCCACAATTTGTCCCCCCTCCTCATTTTTATCTTTGAAAAATTCCTGTTTCTGTTTTTAGCCAGAGGACTCGATAGACAACCAACACAGTACAATTCCAAAGAGATCGAGTTTTTTTACCCTTTCCAAAGCCCTAAAAAAAATCTCAGGGAAAAAAAAAAGGAAAGAACCAAGGGAAATGAAAAAAATGAGATGAGATCTCAACAAGAATAACTTTCAAAGTTTAACCAACCATGGATCCCCCCAAATATCAATTACAAGACAAGTCATTCAAAGTGACATGTTAATGTGGTTGCTAATTTTCTTTTTTTTCTTAGAGAGATAGAGAGCTTTATCTCCTAGTAAAAAGGAAGACAGGGCTGATACTGCCTCTGACTCTCGTGGGTAACTCCTACTTGATTAGTCAGAACTTATCTGTCTCAACTCGTGGACCAATCTATCCTCTTCTTTTTAAGAGCCCCAGAAACGGTTGGGTTTAAATAGTTCCAAGTCAGTAGGTTAAGCAAGGGATAAAAATCCAGCTTTCGCTTTCTCAACTTATTGCTAGAGAGCCAGCCTTGTCTTCTTTCACTCGGGTAAGACATTGCTCATTCAAAAGTAAGACAGGAGGAATGGAAAAGATACATCTCTATGGTAATGAAGCTGCAGCCTTCCCCTCATTTTTGGAAAAAAAGGTGATAATTCCCCTATTCTCTAGGCTTTTTTTTTTTTTTAATAAGAAACAATATTTTATTAATAATCATAATCATAACGTAATATAACAGACATGAAGTTGGACAAGAAGTCCAACCCAAAATGGACAAACAAGCTTGTGGCCATAAACAAAACAAAAAATGCACCACAAGCACTTCCAAGCCAAAACTATCAACATCGACAAGATGCTATCCAACTTGAATAATACAAAAAAGAGGGACATTCTCGAACTCCTTAGTAACGAAAGCCCAAAAAGAAGCTAAAAAATAAGCCTTTTCCCATAGACCCTCCAACACTTCCATTTTATCTTCAAATCTCGCATTCTTTTACATCCAAACAATGGCAAATAAAGCATAATGTCATAGTATCACACCTTTCCCACCTCCACCTTATCCTTTAAAATCCACACTAAATATTGATGAAATAGATATCGGGACCACAAAACAAAGGCCCACCAACACAAATAATTTATTCCACAACGACAATGCTATTGGACAATGAAGGAATAAATGATCCATGATTTCACTACTACCTCTACACATAATGCACCATTGTGGGTTCAAACAAGTAGAAGGCCTCCTTATTTGTAACATAACACTATATTAATCTTACCATATGCAATTACCCATACACAAACTTGCACTTTCAATGGCACCTTAACTCTCCAAATCTTCAATGACAGATAAAAAAAGGAATTGATAGATCATCAATCAACTAATCAAAGTAGGACTTGCACAAGAATAACCCCGATGTGTCAAAGTCAATGACCCAACACCTTTTATCCACCCCATTTAGACTCCAAAGTAATTGAATTAAGCAAAGAAAGAAGTGAAACCAACTCTTTCCTCCCTACCAAGAGATGAAAACTCCATCAATGAGTCCAATAGTTACATAAGTAATCCCCCTTTACCACCAAAAGGACCATAAAACAATAGTAATTTTAACATAGAAAACGCAGAAGCAGTATTCACTAAAGAACAAGTGAAGCTGCCAAAATGCTCTTGAAGGCAGAATGTGGCATAAATACTCTGAAGGCTACATAAAACAGCATAACTATTGGATAAAATTAGTTCTAGGAAGTGGTGACTAAAACTGACTTAAATCATTTAGCTCTTACAATGACAATAGTTTGGTAGTTTCCCTCGAATAGCACACAGCACAGTAGAACTGAGCTAAATCATTTAATAAACATGAAATGGAAGGAAATCTTAAAAGACTAAAATAGATGAGAAGGATAAGGCAATTACAACTGGTACTCTCAATATGTTTCCAATTTTTTTCTGGTAGATATGGTATTCTATAGGTTAAGTTAACCCGAAGTATGCATATAATAGAATAGCTTTCTAAAATGGCATGGAATGAGCAAGTCACCCCATGATATGACACCAATATCTTCAACAGAAAAAATCATTTATATGAAAGTGAGAAGCCCCAACAAGCTTATGAAGGATACTAGGATGGAGTTTTAATATCGCACAGCAAGAAAGCAAAATTTTGGTGATTGATGTAGTGCAAATAAGCTCTATCCATTTTCAGTATCAAATATATCATTTTATTAAGCAATTTCTTATGTCTCCATCTAAGTATATCAACAGGAGTGTTGAAATGTCGCATGTGATCAACTGATTTCTCTAGACATTCCAAAACAGTCGTGCCATGCCATGAACAGATGTCAAAAGAAAGGGTGGAAAAAGCGACAAGAAGCAATTAAAATGGAGGAATTTCAAGGTCTTCAAGATCCGAAAGTCTAATCACAGGGTGGTAGGAAGTCAAATTCCAAAACATTACCTCAGGTATGGATGCTCAACTTACCCACAAATAGGTTCTTCGTTCATCAATGACGAATTCGAGCAGGAGGTAACTTTAAATCGAGCACATGCAATGAACAGGGACTGCAGCTGCAAAAGGTGGAGCAGTGGTTTGAAATAACAGGGCAAGTGCGAATGTGGAAGTACTTAAGTAGAATCTCAATCCACGAGTTTGTGGAGGACCAACCGCCATCATCATTGCGGCTGCGCATAGGATTTGTGGGTTCTGGTTTTTTCCAAACTCAGATCCTCTTCAATTGCGTGTATCCAGGCTAGCACTGCTCAATACCAAAATGGCACTCCTGAAAAATACAAAACAAAGAAAGAAAGAGAAAACAGGGAATTAACGACAAAAAGTCATAGTTGAACTGCTACTCCATTTATACCATGTATTTTAAGAAGTGCTCCGGCTCACAGCCAATCAACTTGGTCACTAGACAATCTGGATGGAAGACACAAATGCAAAATCCAATCTAAGATCCAGTAACTGTATTGGACTTTAGACAACCTAAGAGTTGACTTTAGGGTTGCTAACATATATGTAAGCGTTATCCAGATGGCTTCATTCCAAATCTTCTATTTATTTGATACTGCTGTTCTAGGTGAACTATACAAAAGGCCAACAAGCAACCCAGTTAACGAGAGAGAGAGAGAGAGCATAATAGACTTGATTTATGCTCAGAAATACCTGAAAATCACAAGAAGCCCTTCTTAAAATGTATTTTAATAATGGGCCTTTTAATTGCACTCATGAAAATAATATTGCACTGTCAAATTTATTTTTGTCAAAGCTTAATCAAGGAGCAGATAAATCTTCAGTGCCAGAGAGTTTAGCACCTGTTAGTATTTAATAACACTTCTTAGAGATAAATTATTGATTAAACCTAACTTCAAAATTCCTGGTGAGGTGTTTAAGTGTCCCATTAGCTACCTCATCCAACTTCCTAGGATTTCAAGCAAGTCCATTTTTGGTTTTTCTCTTCATGCAGTATTGCCGAAGGAAGGAATGTATTCATCATCCCTAACACTCCATCAAGGAACAGATTTTTTAGCAATAACGTCATTTCTTATGCTAACGAATAACGGGTGTTCATGAATTATTGTTTGATGAAGGATATTTTAGGAAGCAGCTTGACCCAAAGACACTTTAAATTTTTTACTTTTTGACCATGGTAGAAAATCCCTCAAATACAAGCCAAAAAGAAGGATTACATGATCAAGTACAGTACTTCGCTTCTTATTTTTAAAAATTTTGTGCGCAGGTAAGCACATATACATCTACGCAAAAAACCTGAATTATGCAGAACCACTAAAAGATTTTCATACATAATGATCAATGAGTAACTGTATAACCTTTGACATATCACATAAATAAATAACACCAGGATAAGTAATCTTGTCGATTATGATAACATGTTAAAAGCTTAGAGAAGATTATAGAAGATTTTGAGCAAGTCATTTTGTTTCTAGTATTGAGATGACTGTTAGGTCATGGTATATAACCTTTCATTAAGAGAAACAACTTTTTCCTTTTCATTTTTTTTTTGGTGGGGAGGCGGGATGTGTAACTAGCAAAAGGTTTCTTTTGAATTAACTACCAAAATTTAGAATTCCAGTTCTTCAGTACCCATTATGTAGTAACTATATTACACACCTGGTTCCAAGTTCTGAATAGAGTCTGCGGGGAACAACATTCAAGCCAAAACAGGTTTCAGCTACGGGGTGCGAGTCATGATAATGAAGCAATCAAATCTGGCACAATTCTCTTGGTCAATCAGCATGGTATCTCCTTGTGACGTGCCTCCTTTTGACAACTACCAGATATCACAAACCCCAGACATTTTGCAGCCTTAGGAAAACCCTTCATCCAACCTTTTGTCGCTGCTCGGTGTAAAATATCTAAAGAGACTGAATCAGGTTCGCACCCATCCCTAGCCATATCTTTCAATACTGAGATAATGTCCCAAAACTTCCCTCTTTTGAACATTGCCTCCAATATCGTATTGTATATATCCACACTTGGAGTAATCCCATTCTCAAGCATTTGGTCTCGCACCTGGACAGCAACTGATATCTTCCCTTCCTTACAAAGGCCATAAATAAAGGAACCATATGTAGCAACATCAGGCTTTAGCCTTTGGCTAGCCATTTCTCTTAATAACTGACCCACCAGAAACTCATTGCCTTCTTTTATGGCAGCTCGTATGAGTATATTATACATAGTTGTATTGGGTAAAATCCCAGAGCTTTTTAAATACGTGAAAATCTCCATGCTACTCCATGCAACCGGTTCTTGCAAAGGTTGACAAGAATGGTATTAAAAGTCACTATATTGGGACTAGGACCACTATTCATCATATATTCCAAAAGCTTTAAGCACTCTGGAATCTTCCCAACTGTACAGAAATACTGAATCAAACAAGTTGAACTTACAACATCAAGCTTAACACCTTCATACTCCATTCGATACAAGATCCTTCGAATCATTGAAGAGTTTCCCTGTTTGCATGCTGCAGACAAAATCGTATTGAACGAAATCAAATCAGGCCCATTTGTGCTCCAGTCAATGTGATCGAAGAACTCCAGAGCTTCATCAATGTTGTTTTCTTCACAAATTCCTTTCAAAATTGTGTTATATGATACATTATTAGGTCTAAAGCCCGTCTCCATCATACTCTTCATCAAAGATAATGCTTCTCTTGACCTATTGTCACAACAAAAAGTCTGGAAGTATATATTGTAAACTGCAGCATCCATCCTGCAACCCCTAGATATAATATCGAGCAACAGTTCATTGGCAAGCCCTATTTTGCCCACTTTTAACAGGCCCCCAGCCAAAGCAGCATAGGTGAATGAATCAGGAGAAAATCCTCTTTGATCAATTTCCTGGACAAGCTCACCAATTTTAACAACCATATTTTGTTGACAAAGTTCACGAAGAACAACATTATATGTTACCAAGTCTGGACCACATCCTTCCTTTTCCATCTTTTGCAAGAGGCCCAATGCCTCTCCAATCTTCCCATTATCACAGAGAAACTTTATAATTACAGTGTATGTAATCACATTAGGCTTACAACCGTCAGCTTTCATTTCATTTAAACATTGGAAAGCTTCCTCCCATAATCTTTCCCTACTAAACCCATAAATCAAAGCTGTATATGAACATACATTATCTAGAAGACCCTTCTTCTTTAAGGAATAAAAAAATGCCAATGCACTATAACTCTTATTAGATTTACACAAAGCCCATAATATAGGATTATAGCTATACGCACCTCGAAAATGGCCACTTCCCAGAAGAATAGAAAACACAAAGTGCGCCTCACTAACCATCCCAGCTCTGCTAAGGCCAACAATCAACAAATTCAAAGTGGGTTCAGTTGGAAAATAGCCACATCCCAACATCAGTTCCAGTACATTAAGTGAATCCACCAAACTCCCGAAATCCAATAACTTCTTCAGCAATTTTGACAAGGAACTAAAGGAAGGCAAAAACCCACTTGCGCACATTTCCTCAGCAATCCAAAACGCATCTTTCAACTTCCCTAGTGCAACCATCCCATTCAAGAGGGTATTGAAAGTCAATGCATTTGGACACGGCCCAAACCTCTTCATCCCAAAATACACTTCAACCAATTCTTCCAATGACACGTGTTTTGACTTCAAATAACAATAAATCAATGAATTGAAATCATAAACTGTCGGTTTCCCAGGCACATTCCTCATGTAATTCATAGTCTCAAGAGCTTTCCTAATGCAACCTGATGTAGCATAACTCTGCATTCGTTGTTGTAATTCCATGCAATTTGGTGTCACATTTTCTTCAGGAAATTCAAGTGCTTGAACAGCAGAATATGAAGACCCCACAAACTGACACAAAACCCAAGGCCTTTCGCAAATTGTCTGTGAACGAGCAATTACACAGAAACGCATTGCTGGGAAAAGCAAGATTCAGGCTTTCTCCAATAAAGCCAGCTGAAGGATCTATTGATTGCAATAAATATGCAAAACATTACCCACTGAATGGCTTCCGAGAAAACTGAGAGAAAATACAGACACTGATTCTGGGAATTTATACTCGGTACTCTTTCAGTTACCCAAGAGTGAAAAACTCAAATTTGAAGAAACCTAAACTGAATACTAGTATTGGAGCTCAAAAAAAACCGGAAGCTCTTCAATTTGTGGGCTTCCTGGAACTGAAAAGACAATCACAAATTCATGCTTTTTCAGAATCTGGGAATCATATTCAGTGCTGTTTCAGGGACCAAAAGTACAAAAACTCGAATTTGACGAAACCTAAGCGGAATAATAGTATTGGAGCTCAAAAAAACGGAAGCTCTTGAATTTCCGGGTAGCCCAGAACTGAAAAGATAATCACAAACACACCCTTTTTTTCTCGGCAACCAAACAGAGCACAGCTAAAGTAAGTTGAATAGTAGCATTGGAATTCAGTCCAACGGAACTATTTAAAGACAAGTTACAGCTCTAAATTATGCACAACGACGTCCTTCTCATGGTTGATATATTGAGACTTGAACTGTCTGCTCACCAAAAACAAAAGCCATTGGCATAACGTCTCTCTCTGTCTCTCCGCTCTTTCCCTCTCTCCTCCCTGATATCTGTAGCCACCAAGTTAAGCCTCACAGTCACGGCTGAAGGTTTAGGCGAGGGGTGGTCAGTGGTCGGCGCTGAAACCAGAAGAAAGACACTAAAAGAAGAGGAGGAATTGGAAGGCGTCGGGTTGCGGGTCGATCCAACCCGAATTCGTTGAGCCTATGTGAATATGATTCCTAATCTGTTATATAATTTTGAATAAACTATGCATATAATCCTCTCTATGAATTTTATGTCAATGAAATTCCTAAATTTTTTCTGTGTCAATTGAACCCTTCTCCTCATAAAGTGACAGAGTGTGTCACTCACGTGATTAGACTACAACCCATTTGGATCACGTAAGTGGCACACTTCATCACTTTCTTATAAAAAATTTAACGAAGATGGACAGAAAAACTCAATTGACATAATTAGAGATTTTATGGGCTCAATTGATGCAAAAAAAAAAAATTCTGACACTTAATTGACATATGTCATAATTTGAAAGGTTATATATTTAATTTACTCTATAATTTTTATTAAAAATATTATTTAGACTTAATTCAATCGTTAGATTGAACGTTAACTCTATCTAATCTTGGATTATATGTATAAATTATTATATGTACCACTTCTACTGAAAAAAATTGAATTTTAAACTTCATATGATAAAATTTGATAAACCTTCTGAATTATTCTAATTAAATAGATCAGCTTTTAGACATATTTAATTTACTCTATAATTTTTCATTAAAAATATTATTTAGACTTAATTCAATCGTTAGATTGAACGTTAACTCTATCTAATCTTGAAAATTACAACTAATCTAACGATTATATGTATAAATTATTATATGTACCACTTCAATTATGGTATATGAATAAATTATTATGTAATAAAATAGAATATTATTTGAAAAAAATTGAATTAAAAATTAAACTTCATATGATAAAATTTGATAAACCTTCTGAATTATTCTAATTAAATCCATTTTTTTGGATCAGCTTTTAGACTTCTACCACTTCAATTATGGACCAAAAAATTAGTAATCCGTCCCATGACACATTTTAACCCAACTCAATTCAAGTTAAAGTGGTCAGGAGACGCTGAACTAGAAAGAATAGTCGACACAAACCTAAATATCTTATAATAAAAAAAAAATTGGACTAAAAAAAATAAAATTCACCGCACATTTCAAAAGAAAAATCGAATTCATTGACCAATCCAATTCAAATCAAACTTGAATTAGAGTTTTTATATCAAATTTAAATAGTCCAAATCTGATTCTTTGACAAGTATAATCAAACCCTAAGTTTTGTCTATATAAAAAACAAAAACCCCCTATCGTCACATCGGAAGAGAAAACAAATTGATAGATATAAAATGCTCTCGTCACTGCAATGTAACATCTGCACCATAGCATACCGTCGCTCGTTAGAATCAAAAGTACTAACAATCCACGATCATTTTCAGTACAGAAAATTTCTATTAACCTAACAACCAATGATCACGAACCTATAATTCCAAGAGACTGTTTAGGTACAAGCAGCTGAGACCTATACAATCAGAACAAAAACACTGTAAAGATGCTACTTAGGACTCAAAAACGACTTCCCAAATCCACAATTCATATTTACAGAACCAGAAAGGCCACAGGAAGTTATTGACATCGCTTTTTGATGCCTTAGCTAGATGACAATAGCAGAGTCCGAGGGACCTGACGAAGAAACACTGATCTCACCAGCCACCTGCCTCAGTTTCTGCGCTGCGTGATTGCTAGAAGACCCCGACTCTGAAACATCACCAATGTCCAATGAGTCTGGAAGCTTTCCAGAAGAATCGACGCTGTACAGCTGTGGAACAACAACAAAGATCCCATTAAGTGTAAAGAAATCAAATAGTTGAAAAGAGTCAAGAGATCAAATACTCTATTCATGGCTCTTTCTTTATTTACATAGAGGAAATTACAACTCAGATCATTGTTGGGTAAGGGGAAAGAAAAAAAACAGCAAAAAAGCTAATTGGGATTCCAGTCATTTGGAGTGCTTGCAAGTTGCAAGCAAGAAAATAACTAAATTCTACATAAAGAATCAATAGTGTAACTTTGAAAGCTGCACTTTTCAAAGCAGTAATGCCATTAAGCATCACTACTGCTCATTTTAGTTTTGAACAGCAAGCCAATCAAAAATATGATGAGATGTAAAAGTTAGTCAATTGCGACAGTTCCATAAAGGGACTAGTTGTTCAACATAACAAAAATGGTTGTTTAGACCATATACAAAAGATAATTGAAAACTAGTGAAATTAAGAAAAGTAAATGATAACATAAATGAATTTTGCTTTGGCAGCCCCAACATGATTCACTCAAACTAAAAATTGTTTGTATAACCAAACTGTATAACGAATTGGACCAATGATGACTAAGCAAATGCACATTGAAATCTACCAGCCAATATAAGCCTGTCTTCCTAGAAATTTCTTCCAATCAACTCTCACACGCATTCTACCATTTACCACCTCAAAAATCTACCCACCATAACTAAATTCAATGTAATAAAGCATTGTGCAATATAAATATGATTAACCAAATGTAATCAAGCACCAAGTTGTAAATGATCCACTGTGTACAATGTCAAATGGAATACCAACATAGACAATATAAAAGGATCTCTCCTAAGGTTTCCTAACTAATTCACTCCAAAACCGATAAAAATGATATCAGCACTATGAGAACATAAGTTCACGATAAAGGAAGGTTTTCTGATGAATATAATGAACCACATAAAACTTTACACCAATAGTTTGAAAGTTCATACAGAGTGAGCAATTTCAAGAAATTATTAAGGGCAAAAAGAATTGTCAAGCAAAAAGAGCCAGCCAAAATATCATTCTTTGCCTCCTTAAATGAAAAGGTTAGTCCTTCTTGTAAAGAGAGCTTGTATCCTACATTGAATGAGTAGGACCACCCAATGCTGATTATATGCTTAAGGAGTTTCTCTACTCATTCATTGCCAATTAATTTGGAATTGGTTGCTATAATGTGGTATCTTTACTCATTTGAATGTTCTAGTATGCATGTTTGTCTGCCTGTTTGTTTGTTAGCCCGACGTGCAAACCCGAGTCCCACAAGAGGGAGGATAAAAAGAGAGCATGTATCCCACATCAAATAATTAGGACCACCCAAGGTAGATTTATATGCTCCACTCATTACCAATTGATTTTAAATCGGATGCTCCAACACTTCCAATTTCATCCCGTCAGCAATCACAGCCAATTTGAACACAACATGAAAAGTGCATGCATTTTTGTTTTATTCTAGTAACCAAAAAAGTGGCCATCCGAACACGTTTGCATTCATTGGATCCATAAACAAAAACTTTACAGTGCTTCTTATCGGAAATGATAATATGGAGATGAAGAAAGAAAAAATATATTTTAAAATGTGGATCCGTAATTTCCAATACTTAACTTTTAGGCAAAAAGAAAGAAGCAAGAAACACTTCATAAACAGGACTATCCATGGCACCAGGACAAGTGAACAAACAACCAGAGAGATGACACTGTGTGACAGAGTCCTAAGAAACCACAAACAAAGGACCACAGAATAAGACTAACATGAAATGAAGCACATTTTTAAGACTCAAAAAGTTAACAATTTATAAGTACTACCTCAAGTTGATTCAGCATGTCAATTGTGGCTTCCAAGTCGCCTTTGTTTGCCAAGTAGACATCGAAAAGGGACTCATCAGATACACCAGGAAATGTCATCTGAAGATATGCCAAATCCATGTCAAAAACCTCATCCATGGTGTGCTTTTCTGTCATCTCCCTTGGATTATGTGAGGATGAACCATAAAATCCTTGAACAGGGTAACCTTTCAATGTAGGATCCTCAGCAATCTGTTGCTGCTTTTTTGTTGTACCCTCAGAATGGGGACCCAGCCATACAGCCTCATTTCCACTCTTATAATCTTTGTTTCCATCAGCTGCTCCTCTTTTAGAGAGCGGTACATATGATGCTGCATATGGATTCAAAGTAGATGTTCCTGCCTTCATTGCTGTGGTGTACAAAAGTGACTGCTGTCAACAAATTCATTTAAAAAAAAAAGGAGCAAAGCATAGTATAAGCAGATATCACACATAAAAATGCCATCGAAATGAATCAGCACCCCAATGATAGTAAGCCTAATTATTCAATTTCACACACAAGTGTGGGGCTTACACTAATTGTTATCATTCGGAGATAGAGGACAGTGGTTATATCTTCTACAATTCAAATTAATAAGTCCATAAATATAGCATAGCCAAGCACTGACCCCACAGGTATTCATTAATAATGAAACTATCACCTTAGTTGCAAATGCTTTCTCAATGTGCAAATGACATTTTAAACCTAAAGCCAATCATTGATTTCATCAAACATAATTTTTATCTCCAACAGACGCCAAAAAGCATATAAGCAAATATTGCACGGGCATGCGTAAACTCAATAGCTCCACTTAACCAAGCTCAAATATTTCTAGTATCCAGTTTTAATCACCAGGCTCCAAGCTGTATACATCAAAACTCCAATCCACAATTAGCCTGGTAAGATGCAAGAAATGAAAAGGATCCAATGCCGTAAATCTTAAATTTCAATAACTGGGATCTGAAGAAACTATAACCAAACACAGATCAGAAAGCCAATAAAACTAACTGACGTGATTAAAACTAGCATTTTACTGGCCCAAACCTAAAAAAATGAAGATACAAGTACCCCCTTCCTTATCCTCTTTTTTCTTAGCAACCAAAGGATTAAGTACTCACAACTTGTGATCCTTACATTAGGTAGTAACTATGCAAATCTGGGTTGGGTGGATGCACCAATGGGCTTTTGGTCCAATAATACTCCTTGTCTTGTAAACGTTTTACCTTCTTGAGATCAAGGGTTCAAGTCTCTCCTCCCCCTTCTTCTTTCCCCTCCCAAAAATAAAATAAATAAATAAATAAAATTAAAAAAAAAAAAATTTGGTTGGGTAGATGCCGAAGTCGAAGTTCTCAAGTATCTATCCCAGATTCCTAGTCATAAATTTTACTACTTAAAACTACTTCACATATGTCTACTTACTACCACTCTCCATTTTTATTAATTGAAAACTAAAGCAGCATGTACACTTATACATCACATGTACAAAGAAATACCAATTTGTGTATATGTTTCAGGACTCACATAAACAGACCGAATCGAAACACAATAAGTACTGAGTTTCTGCATCTAAGGCTCCATTTGTCCTGCTGTTAAACTAATATAACAGCAATTTTCAGCGTTTTCTGAAGACTCTTTCAACAACAAGTCACGTTCCCAAAATAAGATAACAGTCACTCTCGGGCTTGATTGGACCAAGAAGATTGTCAGGGTACAGGTCATTCTACAATGTAAAGCATAATGCATTCAACAAAACAGAGCATAAGTTCTGTTCATGAAATATACCAAACTCCATTCGGAACCCTAAAATATCCATGTCATATAATATGAGTTCACAATTCAACTTATTGTTGGTACATTTTATCCGGATCAAAAAAGCATTCAAGTATCCCAATTACCAAAGCTCCTCAAGACAAATTAACAATAGCAAAGCCGCACTAAAGATCCACACACCCACATGGTATGCATACCTTAATATGAATCCTCTCAATCTCAAATTTTTTGGATTTCTGTCAGCTTCAACCCCACTAGTAGGATTCTATTGGACCAACACCACGGAAGTGAGACCAGGGCTGGCCCAATAGAATGGCTAGTAAAGCCGGGCTTTAGGCCCCACTTGTAAGGAAGCCCCAAATTTGTAAGTGTGTAGTAATAGTCCAAACAAAAAATTTAATTTCATAAGAAATATATGTCCCAAATTTACAAGTGTGTAGTAATAGGCCGAACAAAAAATCTAACTTCATAAGAAATATATGTCCCACATAAAGTCAGGTTTAAGCCTAAATGAAAAATTTTAAACTGAGTAGGTTGGGCTTATTATTAAGCCCATAAAATCAAAGCTCCCTAATTTCGAAATTCTTAAAAACTACCTATAAAATAAAGCTACTCAAAAGTCAAGTAAGTCCAACCTTACCATCATAATTTTCAACCACTTCTCTCTCTCTCTCTCTCCATAACACAAGCACTGTCTTTCTCTCACCATCCAAATATAAAAAGTTGAAAAAAAAAGAGAGAGAAATAGAACTAAGGGAATCTAAAAAAGGATCTCTTGATAAATTTGTTACTAGTCAATAAGGAAACTCAATGAATTAGAAGATAATGAAACTATACAAGATAACAATGAAAATATTTTGCAATCATAACCAAACATGTAATATGACAATCATGGCGTAAAACAAAGAAAAATTGATAGAAGAACATGAAAATCTTTAATGTCTATGTCTCAATAAAGATAAAGTGGATTAGCAATATTATGAATTGAAATATATATGGTAGCAAAACTTGAACATAAAAACTTAACTACTACTTTTGGATCTCAAAAAGTAAGAAGAATAAATTATATAATTTTTTTATTAATATTAAAAATAAAAGGCCTCATTACAGTTGCCGCTTTAGGTCTCAAAATGTGTCGAGCCGCCGCTGAGTGAGACCTAGTCAACCGAACTTAAATCGAAATTAACCAAATCTAAAATGAAGAGGACATGGAATTAATCCCATTTTATATAGAGAATTCTAGAATTTCTCTTGCCTCTGAGAGAAATTCAGCCAATTCATTCCAAATACAGAAGGAAATCGAAGACGCAGAGTATAGATATATATCAAGAGAATTATCCACCAGGAAAACACCAAGAAAAATGATTGAAAAATTAAAGAAAAACCGAAATAGTTACGCCAATTGATCTGGTAAAGCTTATCTTCTATCTGAATCATAAAAAACCTCCAATCTAAGAAAATTAGCTCAAAAACACACGGAGAGATATGGGATATAACAGGCACAGAAGTGTGTGCATGATTGATGGAAACTCACATGGAGAATCGATGATGAAGTGCCGATAAGTAATCGATCTAAAGCTCTGAAACCCTAATTCAAGTTTGGCGATCGCTTGAGTATCAATGAAGCTCTTCTCTCGCCCTCGCTCTCTTTCTCCGAGAAAACCGAAACGGAAGAAAAGAAAGAAAAAGGTCGTTTTACGGGGGTTGCTAAGTGATACATGCGTGGGCCCCATTACACATACACACAGTTTCGTGCTTCTATATGGTCGCTCCGTGATCCTTCGTGTGTATGAGTCGTATGGGATCAATTTGTGGCGTAAAATAAAATATCTTAATTATAAATTTCGTTAATATATATATAAAATAAAGTATAATATAATTCAAATTTTAAAAAATAAATAAAATGACTTTTATTTTTCGCAATTGAGATTTTTTAAAATTTTACTTTAAAATCAATCCGATAGTTAATATTAACACATCAAATTTAATAGAAAAAATAGACCACTAAGAGTGTATTTTATGTGATTGTTTAAAAGTACTTCTATGATTTATAACTTCTAAATTTAAAAAAAAAAAAAATTGGTATTTGAAATTGTCCCACTATTATCACCATTACCATCAACACCGTCACTCCACCACCATCACCACTATCTCCACCACCACCACTGTCGACACCCCACCGCTCCACCACCATCATCACTATTACCACACCACCCCCATCATCCCCACCGCCCCACCACCGTTACCACAACCACTATCGTCGTCGCCACCCCACCCTACCACCACCTTTATCAGAACCACAATCACCCCATCACCACCGTTATCCAACCACCACTCCACCACCACCGTCCTGGCCCACCTTCACTACCCTTACCCTACCCCCACCACCACCATAGCCACCCACAACTGATTGCTACCATTATCGTCCACCGCCACCACCCACCACTATCGCCATCTCATTTGTATATTTATTACCATTACCATTGTGACCCACCGTCAGCACTCATCACCACCATTATTGCCCACTGCTACCTATTACCATAACCCATTACCATCTGTTGTTGCCCACTATCGTCGTCAACCACTGTCACCCACACCTACCACCATTGTCATTCGTCACCGCTCATTACACTATCACCAAAAGCACTCATTTTCACCCACTATCACCATTGTCATCACCCACCACTGTCGTCGCCCCACCACCACCACTATCAACCACCATCACCATCGTCCAGCACCATCCACACCCAGCTCCACAACCGCCGTCACTCATGCCTGCCACTACTACCATCATCACCCAAAATTCACCACTGCCATCATTATTGTGTTACATGACTGCCACCACCACCATGGTCATCGTTACCCATTATAATCATCATTGTTTCCCACCACTACAACTATCACCGCTCATCTATACTACAATCAATGCTTAATTTTTTTTTTTTTTATAATTTAATTTTGGGTATGAATACAAATATGTTTATTATTGACTATTTTTGTTATTAATCTGTGCCTTCAGGCATGAAAAATAACTAGTTTATATAATAAAGTACAATACAATTCAAATTTCAAAAGATAAATAAAATAGCTTTTATTTTTTGCAGTTAAGATCTCATTAAATTTTATTTTAAAGTTAATCTGACGGTTAATATTAACACTCCAAATTTAATAGAGAAAATATGTCTTTAAGGGTGTGCTTAGGGTAACTTTTTAAAATTATTTTTAAGACTTATAACTTCTCATAAGTATTTTAAAAAAAAATAATGTTTGGAACTGTCCCACCACCTTACCATCATCACCACTATCCCCACCACCCTCCCCCGTGGCACTGCCCTACCCCCACCACCATTGTGATACCCCGAAATTCGGGGGTTCTTTTCTCAACTCATTGATAACCCATAAATTCGTAGAATACCTGTGGATATTGTATAACCCAATACCACGTTGTTACACCACATTCACCGAGATCATAAACAAGACATAATTCAAGCATAGTCTCCTTTGTATGGAGAGCACTACCCAATACATAAGTTGTGCATATATTAACCAGACGACCTTTCCAAGGTCCACTTCCTAAAGTATAGGCTAAATATTTAAC